AACTCAAGCAAGTTTCAAAATGAGGTCTCCATGCTGTTGCTATGAGTTACGGAGAAGAAAATGGAGAAAGATGCGACATCTAAGAATACTAAAAGATTCATTTGTCACGATCGAAAAACGTTAATCAATTATAATGGTAAGTTAAATTTATATATAAACTAATAATTATCACCGAATAGTTCTAAGAAGAACATCGTAATTTAAAGAAATATAATTTTAATTGATCAGTTATTTTTTTGTATTACGAATTATAAGTTTTTGATAAAAACAATTTCAATGTTCTCAGTAACATTATTTATATAAAAACATTTTTGAGCACATTCATTCATGTTTTAGCGACTACTTACTGTAATAGTATTCTTAAAATAATGATATATAATTATATAGATATTTATATATGTTCAACATGTCACATCCGAATACGTGAATAAGAGAATTAAAACATAAAGTATTACTATCATTTTTGCCTAGTTTCTATAAATAATAAACTAGAGGTAATGTTTCATTTTATTCAAACTCGCCCTGTATAGAATATTATTGATTTAAGGAGACAATAGTTTTTTTTATTATAAATATGTAAATACATTATAGTTCAATATTATTTTACATAAAACTAGTTGATAGTATTACGATAATATAGAAAATGATTTTACAATTAATAATTTAAATTACCTTTCATTATAAGGTTCATTAATAGAAAAGAGTAGCTCATTAATTAATCCACAATAATATTGAATTCGAAATTTCTTTTCTCAAGTATCTATAATTTAGTTGTCTGTATAATAAACAAAACAATACTAATCCTTTTAAGGATTAAATCAAAAAATTTCAATAGATAATATCCGGTTTATTTGATTTATTTCATAAATCAATCATTATATAATTGTTTGACATTTTCATCAATTTTTTTAGAAGAAATTTTCTAAATAGTTAAAATATTATTGTTTTTCTTAACTTTTATGCTAAACAAACTCAAACTTACAGTGCAATCTATCGGAAATATTAGTATTCTTTACGCTCTTTTCACCTATTCTGTCTATGATTCTATTTTAATTCGGATATTGTGGCTTAAATAGTTGTTTTTCTATAATCAAAACATTTTCAAGAGTGAATAGTCAATTATGATGAAGTGTTCAGTCTTGTCTTGTATTCTAAATTAGTTCTAACATGAATGATTTTAAATAAATAAACCATTTTATTAACTTATAAAGAGTAGAGTAAATATAAGATCAAGCAAGTTCATGACACGTTTTCTTTGCTAGATTATAACTAGATTTTTCAAAAAAATCTAGTTCAATACATCACATTTTCCTCATTAATTTAATTATAATATAAAACGTGTCGTCGACTTCCTTTTTATTCTCATAACGGAACTATACGAAGACAAAATGTCAGTGTATATATCTTCTATATCAACTTGAATTAATCAAAACTTAAAATTTCAATGTTGACATATTATTATTTTGTTTATAATTTCTTATCTAGATAATATTAGATCCTTATAATAAGATAAGAAAATTAATTTTTCAATCAATTTCTTCCATAATTAAAAACAAATTTTACATGAATTAACTACGTAATAAGTAACTTTTTAAGCCGATTAAATGAATGTTTTTATTTTTAATCCCTACACGATATTCTATATAAAAATAAAATCTTAATTATCTTTATTTTTAGCCACCAAAAGATACAAAACGAGTAAAATACCTTCATATAATCTATTTCGATCAAATAAATAAAATCTATTTATAGAAAGGTACAGTAGATCGATCAGCATTAATTGAACAAATAAATATTCCTGAATTAACTGAAACATTATTTAAATCATCTTGTCATGGAGATTTAACAAATTTAACTGAAATTTTAACAGCACCAACAAAAAATACTGAAAATATTCGTTTTGAAGCTATACAATATCATCATTTATTACAAGTACGAAATGATCAAACACGAACATGTCTTGATCTTGCTTCTATACTTAATCATCATGAAATTGTTAAATTATTAGCAGAAAGAAGTACAGTTATGTTAACTGATATAATTAATTTAACTAATGGAACAGGTTAATTCAAACACTAAAAAATTAAATTAAATTTTGATTTATTTTTTAAATAGGATATTCATGTTTACATCTTGCTTGTGCATGGAATCAATTTGATGCAATTAAAAATATCGTAGCAGCTGGTGGTGATGTTGAACAAGAAACAATTCATGGAGAAAAACCTATTGACATTGCTAGACGATATCAACATAATGATTTAGTTGAATATCTTGAATGGATTGGTATGAGATTTTTTAATCTTCTTTTTTTCTTATACATAGTCTAGAAAGATTAATCTATTTTTAATGCTATAGCTATACGGAATAAATTTACACGTATTATCAACGATGCAAAAGATTTTATCGTTGATCCGTCAAAAAATCTGGATAAATTAAAAAAAGATGATAAAGTAATCATTGTATAAAATTGTAAGACAAAAAAATTAATTTTTCTTTTTTTTTATATAGAAAAAAATTGAAAAATATACTAAAGATGCATTAAAATGGTTCGATGAAAATCAAAATAATTCCAATGCACGTGAATTATTTACGAATAAAATAAAAGAAGCTGAAGAATTTCTTGCACCTTTCTATACAAATGTTGCATGTGAGTTAGATAATTGAAAATATATGACTTTTTTT